TGAAAATTAGTATTTTGTATATATCAAAAGTATGAAAAAATATAAAGTGTCAAGCACTATGAAGTTATTACACATTGTTGTGTACAATACTGATTTTTTCACATCATATATTTTTGAGGAGCAAACAGTGTGCAAGGTTAATTAAAGGTTTAAAAAGTGTGTAGCTGTCCTTGAAATTTACCATCGTTTTTTTATGTATAAAGGCCTCTTTATTATTTCACGCCACCCTATTTTAAGTGAACACACATTGAATGGAAAAAGGTCACACTAAAAACGTGTTTGTATTGTATTAACACAGTACAATACAAATACAGCAGGGAACATAAATAAAAACTTATAAATTGGCAACATAATGTTCCTTGTTTGACTAGTTCTCCCGTCGAACCAAATCAAAATATGTCATATGGCGACTTTCCAGCATACCTGATTTGGGATGACCTTGGGTACCTTTTTCGTGCATTATATGAGGAACAAACGGATACACGAGTATACAACTGACCTTCCGTTAGCTAGCTTGATATTTTTTTATCATGATTCCAATGTTTTGACAGATGTCAACAAAACTGCGATAATAGCCAAGTGATTTAATATCAGTGACCTTAATCCTTCAGCCGCGGATGCCCCTACAGTACTGTTAATGTTCATTTGGATGTATATATTAATTTTCTTTAAGCAATATAAGTTATTTTAGTACTATTTATGTAATGCAAATTTATAATATAGGTTATAGCAAACATGTTATGTTCGTGACTGTACAGTTACATTAATGATCGTGTGGAAATATAGGTAATGCACGTAAGGAAAAAAGGTCGTGTTACTGTATAATATAGGAAATGTCCTGCCGAAATATAGAATATAGTCGTTCAACAAAATAGGTAGTACGTGTGCCCTAAGGGAGTTAATGTTTGTGGAATAATTAAAATGTTAAAAGCTATTTGCTGAAAAAATATTAATTCAATTTAAAACAAAAACTTCGAAATTGCCTGTATGATATTAATTTGCTTGTTTTCTTCCTAAAGAGCAAATGCTGCATGCACAAAATCTTCGATAAATGCTTAAATTCCTACTGATAAAAGCAGCATTATATTTTGTCCCAGAAAATTGTATATCTGTTATTGCAATATTTGCTTGTGTTAAATAGCAGAAACATACTACGTATGCTACAACTGTTCAAAGAAACGACTAAAGAATGCCTATAGATTGTATCAAAATATTTCTTATCATATAGCTTATATAAATCGTTCTTGAAATTATCATCTATACGTTTGATGATATTAGTCAAGAAGGAATTCATGGACTTTTTTTCAATACCAAAGTGCATTTGAAGGTTATACAGACCTCTAGGTTATAGATATTCACTAAGTTGTAAGTATTCCCAATACCATAATAACTGATATTCCAAACCGTGTTCGTTTTGATTCACCTTTATTTCTCTTTATCTAATGTATACGTTTCAAATCTTCTGATATAATTCACTAGTTATACTAAACTTCTAATTTTATATTACATGTATAATAATATTGTTTTTAATCTGCTGCTATGTATACATTTTGATACAGTAAAATTTACCTATCATATGTTCGTTTTAAAAGAGTTTATTACACCGTCAACCATTTGTTGTTCACATCATTGTAAATCGAGAGTGAAACATATATTGACAATTTAATCACCGATTAGACTGTCCGTTGTAAATTTATTGGAATTTATAGGTTTATTAGACGATAAAAGGGTGAGTCTAACTTTTTTCTAAATGGTTGAAGGGGAATTTGAGATGAAATGAAATATAAAAGGTAAAATCAATTTAACAAATAACCAAATTGTATTATTGAAAACAATATTTCAAGTAAAAACGATATGCATAATTACGTTGAATCATAACATAAAACGTATTCAGTAAAACATAATTATAGATTATATCAATTCGATAATTTGTTATTTCTGAATATAAACCCAAGAGAAAACATTTTCCGGAGGCCACTGTGACCTAGCTTTTGGTCTGATTATGATGCACATTTGTCAGTGGAATATTTTTGGGGATTCTATAAACGGCAACATTGCGAAACCTTAAGAAACATGTTCATGGCATAGGTTTAAGACAAACAGGCAGTTCAGGTTTGCTGAGTAAGATATACAAACTCATAAAAACGCAAACCTTTACTGATTCCACCTTGGACCGATCTTTTATGTGAATCAAACAGTGCAATTTCTTTGCAAATTGGGCGATGCAATAGCTGTGTTGGCCCATTTGGACATTATTGTAACTTACACATACAAATTTAACAAAGTGATGAAGATATTGTTGTATTCCTAATGTTTAAAGTAACAACAGCAATATTCGACTGTTTTCATTGAATCACTAGAACGAGATGTCAGATGTTCGCCAGGTATGTATACACGTTTAACTACCAAAAGTTATTCAAGAAAAGAATATAGTCATTATTAAGATATACTAATTTTAAAGAAGTAATGATATTGGAATAAAGTAATATGGCTTTAAGAACAAAATTCAGCAATTATGTTTATACGAACACGTAGTAAATCCACTTTGTATATCCAAAAAAACGCAGGGATGTGAAAATGTAACTGTACAATTGTATGGCCGAAACTAGCACCACGGTAAGTAAATGGGCTATTTCCTTTATAGTAAATCGAATTGGAAATAAATCAAATGGCGTGAAAGGGTTGCTTAGACATTATATTTTAGACGTCGTTAAAATTATTCCCAGGAAAGGTACTTGCATACTACGTTCATAAATGAATGCAAAATGTGCATTTATTAATTTTTCTCCCTTTGAATTAAAAATACTTATTCTGTTACAGCACTAAGGTGACGATGTATTACCTTATAACGATTGCCAGAAATTGTGGCCTTCAATCATTTATATAACGGGCTGTAAGATTTCAAGGAAATGAAGTAATCATGACGGAAATACCATTTCCTTCTTAATGCATTAATGTCTGACTTTCCAGACGTAAATTAGGTTAAATGTTGATGTAAGTATCTTTCTTATATGTATCTGAACAAATGTAATAAGAATAATAAGAAAATAAATGAAGAATTGTTTAACATTGTCAATGTAAAAATGTAAAATATTAAAATAATATTCATCTTTGTTTATTTTCCTAGATCTATAAAATGAAAAAGAATATCATTTTAACATTAATTTCTTCATATGCAATGAGTGTGTCATTTGCAGTGTTTGCAAAGTATAAAGCAAACTCGTACGGATCAAAGTCATTATCACGCCATACTCAAATTCGTATGTTTGTTTTGCCAGTGTACATCTTGAATGTGATTAATGAAAAACCATCCGATAACGTTTGAAACAGTCCATGTATTTTGGAGTGAATAATTGAAAGAAAGGAACGCTTAAGATATCAAATAATAATAATAATAATTGTTACACTTATGTACAGCTGTATTGCACGACGTTATATACACATCATGATAAATTTTTCTTGATCATTTTTTATGACATAGTTTTTTCTGTTTTTGCTTGAATGTACTCATCAATGTTCATTTCAACGTCTACGTTTGTTTTTCGAAATGAATTTTTAAGTTCTCCTTTTCTTTATATTTGATTATATTTCCAAATTCAAGAATTACATATATTATATGGATAAGGAAGAAATAAGAAGCGGATGATGACTTACAAATTATCGTCTGATGCATGCATTGGAAATAAAAGGCGGTGAGTACTTTGGAAAAAATTGATTGAAATTCTCAAAATGTTAATAAGTATCTGATTTAATCCCAAGCTTTAATGTATTGGTAAAAAGAGGACATGAACTTTATTCACACTATATACATGTATGTAATTTGTATTAAAACATAGAATATGTAACAGAAATGTTTAATGAGGTCTTTAATAATTACTGCCTGTGCGATGTTTAGTTATCAAAAACGGTTTGATGTTATTTAAAGAATTTTAAACTATTTTCTGGTAAAATTATTGATAGGTACATAACTGTTAAAATCGACAAAATGCTGTATCATATAGATCCACAAAAGTGTATTACACAATTCAACCGTTTGTTTGCATGAAATCATGTATGGATATGCAATATTAGTAATTAAGTATTGGAAATACGTCTGGAAACAAAGATAGGCAATTGCCATACACTTTACACTTTAGTTTTATCATCAAAATGTAATGACATTGTATTGATATAAATAAATGATTTTAATTTGTTAAAAGCTAGAATGGAAAACAGTAACAACATTGAATTACTTTTTACTCATTTTTGTTTCTTTGGAAAATCTTAAATTTTGTTAAATCCCAAACCATGATATTACAATAAACACAATTCTTTCTCTATTTTTTTTTATTTTCTTTTAATATTCCGTCTGCTTTGACATACAATACAAGGAAATACATAACACATGTCTACGGTTTCTCGAAAGATTTATTGTTGAACAGCATCTAGAAGGAAATGAAATGATGATAAGAAATGTTTTTAAATGTCTTTAAAAAATTAAACATTGATCTTAGTCATTTAAAAGGACAGAATGTTAGTCGACATCATTATACTTTTTAGATCCGTTTTGTGTTTCAATGGTTCTAAACCGGTCGATTGAGCTGTCCAGCTAACATTTTGAGAACGTCTGTGAAAACTATTCGTGCCTACATTCTGTTAAATATCTATGCAGCGCCCCAATATGGTATTAATAAGTTATATTACTTAATAGCATTCTCAATTTAAAATAAATGGCATGTGAGAAATTCACTCGACCACATACTTTTTGACATGAAGAATGTAATATACAAGTATAGTTTTGTTTGTAAATTAATTTCTTCCGGTTTAGACATTCATTAGCTCGGACAGATAAAACATGTTAGAAGTAGTTTGTATATGATGATTAGAATTGTGGCATCAACCAAAGTGTCCACCCAGAAGACAGAACGCTTCCATTAATTTAGGAAAACAAATTCAAATATGAATTAAATATGTCAATCAGCGGTTCCTATGTTTGCTTCAAATAATAAACAAGAAAGATATTTATGACAGTTCTTTTTAATTTTATTTATTTATTTGTGAATTACATGGATGTGGATTATCATATAGTAAACATCTAGTATATAGTTATAGTTTGTAACATAAATAATTGTGACAAATAAATATGACAGTTATTTCTATCCTATTCTTAAATGATTAGTTTCAAAATCAACAAATTTCCGTGGAATAAAACTGTTTGCGTTATAATTCTATAATTCTTCTTTTTAACGTATAACTCGTAAGTTGTTTTGTACTAATTAAACATTAGCTTTAAAATGTTATGGTCCCATTTTGTATACATTATATTTTTAAAAACGAATTTGTGGTGATTTTTTTAATTGAATTAAAACATTGTTTTGAAAAACTTGAAGAAAGGGGACGCAACGTTTCATAGACAGTTATAATTGTACAACGTTATTACTTCCCTTCCTTGCATCCTATTCACATATATTATATTGCTATCTACCAATATTGATAAAGCTGTAGCTTTTTATAAATTTAATTCATTCAATGTCTCGGAAATGGCTTTCAAAAATACAAAATGGTGATGATAAGTCATCAGTAATAAAATATAGACAAAATCATAGTAGATCAACTAAAACAGTGGTAATCTACTTTATCTAAAATTTAAAAAAGGTCAGCGATATACAGCAAAAAGAGCACCACGCAGGCGAGGCAATATGTGCTCGAATGCAAATAGGTTCAAAGTCTTTAAAATATTAAAATATTTGTTCATTTAGAATAGAGTACATTTCATTACACATGTATATGATACGTTTTATTTGAGTATATAAACTGACTTTAAACCAATAATAATTGTTTTAAACGAGAAGTATTACAAAAGTCATACCAATAACAGTTTGCCAGAACTTCATAATCTCAATAATCATCAAAATGGAACTAGGAATTACAAAATACTTTGACAAACACACACTGATGCTACATGCACAAATAAGCTCTGAATATTGCAAATATTTATGAAAGGATATTCAATACATTTTGCTATATAAATCTACAAACATGTTATTCGTGTGGTCCCAGTCCCCGGGCAAAGCCTTTTTACACAAGGTGATAAATTTTGTGACTATTGAAGAGCTCTTTTAAACAACGATGCATGCCAATATCTACGATCTGTGCATTGTGGAATTTAGACAAGAAGACATAAATAAGTTTTTAAGTTTTCCTGTTCAAGTCTATAAGGGAGTGACCCCTGCGACATGTCCAATATTAATCCCAGGGGCATTATTTACATATTTTATGTTTAAGTCCAGAAGGCAATGTTTTATAACAAATACATGTATCTAGTAAGCTAAAAAAATTATAACTGCGTGCTTCACACTATTTCATTCAATTTGAAAGTTTTCATAACTTACCTTTTAAAATTAATCTATCTTTATGTATCATATTTTAAATTAGTTGTAATTTTGTTAATTTACATCTTTAAAGTTTCAAAAGTTTTATGTAACATTACTGTGAAAATCTAATTAAATGTGTTTTAATCATAGACAAGTTAAATATTTTAAATAATAATCATCTTACCAGACAGAGTCTTAAGGAATAAAAGAATGATAAAAAAACAAATAAGTATCATATGTTAATAAAGGATGGAAACAATATAATAAAATAATACATACGGAGTATTCTCCCTTTGATACATATTATAATGAATTATATGAGGATTTCGAATATGTAAGTGTGAACTTGACATTGATCTGAGGAAACCCAAAACTGCGTGAAACACATTTTTTCAATGTTTTGAAAATTTCGACCAAATAGTTTTAATTTCGAGCCATCAGCTAAAAAGTTTTAGAAGGAACACAAAAAATGATATTATTTCATGAAGATTAGTGAGTGTGACCTTGTACTTGACCCGAGAAAGCCAAAATCTACGCTTCCGCTATGCAGTTACAATTCCCTTCAATCGGTAAAAAATACAGATACAGAGCGGGTACGCAATGGCTTACAGGCAGACGGGCGGACTATCGGATGAACGGACAGCCAGGGAAATAACTTTATACGCCGAACCTTTGTGGGCGCATAAAACAGAATACAGCTGTCATAGTGAGGAACGTACATTGGGTACATTTATTTGAAGACGAATAGAAAATGTATTATAATAATTAAAATTATTCAAATCGCTATTGTTCCCATAAAATATCAATAGAGAGAAAAAGAATCCCTAAATCTCCAAGTCTCCAAATAAATCATCAACAAATGTGTATAATAAAACAGTCCTACTTTGCGTTTCAGTCTCTTTGTAAAGACTTCGTGAATGGTCTATATGATTCTGTCTAAAGTTGTTACCAGTAATAGCCCTTGTCATTAAAGTGTCACCTTCAGACATAAATTATCATTAAAAAATACCATTGACACTAAAATTTCTTTCATATATTCATTTATAATGAATTAAACATATTTCCCTTGTAATATTGAACGTACACAGGATAGGAACCGGTGCATAATATTCTTTAACAACGAAAGATTATAATCAGAAATGTGAAAAAAAAATTAAAACCGGAAAATAACTTTTTAGAAATTGTAAGGAGTTTTTGGGGCCATATTTGTACATGGATATTATTGTATTAATTCTGCAATTTGTTTAAATGCACTGACTTTATCGGACCGGTTGAAACGAACTGTAGGAGTACGTGTAAATGGAATAGATAATTTCAATGCAACGTCAGCCCAGTTCAAGAAATTTAAAATATCTTCCCCTGATGGAACTACCATATAATCGTTCAACTTGTCCAAGAAGGAGCGGCCACCGGGCGGTGTGTCATCTAACCTCAGAAGGATAAGGTTACGGTGGTGTTTCCCTAAAAGAAAGCAGTTATCAATGATAACATGTTATTGATACGCTCTTTATTTACGTATAATTTATTTTCAGAGATAAACCCCTGAAGCGCCCTCCATGACTCCGTACATAAACCTTAATTTGGATTATTATTGTCAATATTCTATGCTTATAATTAATTCACTAAAATAGAAATATTAAAGAAAATTGTTATCAAGGTAAGGTAGTAACATAAGAAATTAGAAAAATTTACTTTTATTTCCAAGCAATTAAAAAAGAACAAAAAAAAACCCACTTTATTTTAAATGTGTTCAATTTCTTGATTACAAATTTATTATATTAAATGATAGTTTGCTCATGCAAAATATGTGACAATATAACTGTGAAGTCCTCACAATCCGCTGCTAGCGCCTCTAGTTATAAAACACTTATTGTGCATAAATGTTCTCAGTTTTCTGTTAGCAAATTTTACACCTACACTGTACATGAAATAGCATACATATAGCCGAAAATAAATTAAAATTATAATATTCATTCTTTATCTGTCAGATTAAGAGTATGCATCTTAGTTTAAATCGCAATGAGGACACAGCTTTATCAAATGTTTATCCGATAACATAAAAGTTCAAGTGGGTTTTTGAAAATCTTTATCGCTAATATAAATATGTAAATAAGTAAACTTTATGAAACTTTACTGATATTAAACAATTAGGGAAGTACTTAATTATATCATACTTTCAATACGAAGATGGCTAACGTCATTCATACAAGTGATCATGATTATCGTGTAAACGTCTGGCTGAAAATGAAATATGTTGATAAACTTTTAGCGAATGCCAACTTCTTTCAAGAAAATCCAGCCTGTAAGGTTTTCAAGGCTAATCAGTAGCCACGTTGTGTCATCTGTAACATCACATTGCACAAATGGTTCACAAGGCCTCGTTGTCCTGAAAATTAAACCATGTTTAAAAAGACCTGACAAAAGAACCAAACAATCAAGCCAGTAATAAAATGATGTAACGGAGCATAGATTAAATTTTAAATGCGAAACTGTCCATGTTGGGTTACTTAATAAAAAAAACCCAAATTCAAAAATCTTAAAGTGATTTTTTTGTCATTTTATTCTTTTCCCAAAGTTGTGATAAATTGATTTTATTTTTCCAAAAATTTTGACTTTAAAAAGGGAAAGCTGGCAAACCCGTTAAATATAAGAAAATTTTTAAGGGTGAAAATATAAATTGCAAAAGATCCCCCTGCAATTTTAAAAATTTAAAATGGTTTTTTACTGAAACTTCCGTGGACCATTTGATTTATTAATCGTTCATGCGCAGGTAAATTTCAGAATTTAAAGGGTTGATGACAAAGCGTAACCCTTTTTACTTACACCCCTAAGATAGGCACCGTATCACTTAAAAGGCCGCTTAACACGGGAAAATTGAAATTATAGGTACGGTGCAAGTTATATACATGCATTAGGTGGCGCGATAGCTCAGTTGGTTAGACCACTGACTGTCACTCCAGAGGTTCCGGGTTCGATCCTGGGTAACACCCTTAGGATTTTTCAGAGACACTTTCAGTGTTTCCCACCTACCTAGAGGTTAACTGGTAAGAAACCCAGGTAATCCTCGCATGTATCAGTGCTATACACTGGGCATGTAAAAGAACCAAGGGGTCTTTTCAATAAGAGCTAGGGACTGGTTCCCGGACTCCCTTGTATCTCATAGCTGTCTCTAGAGTCTGGTGAGATAAGGACCCTACTGGAAATAAGTGCTTGCACTTTCGTAGGTTATCCTTGACCGCCCGGTCTAAAGAAAATCAATCAATCAATCATTATTGCGTATTTTGTTCAAATTAAATCACATTTAGCTATAATTAATAAAATGAAAACATTTAATATGAATTACCTTCATAACATATTTTTCATGAATGCATTTCGTACAAAAGCTTAGACTTCAATTACTTACTCATCAAAGTCCCCAAATTTTCATAGTTCTTAAAGTAGTCCTTCGTATCGGGATGTATGTTGAAGTCAATCCTTTCGTATGGTGTACCAAATAGTTCAAGTTCTGTAGTCAAGTCCTCTGCGAATGTGGACGTTTTCCATTTTTCGCCGGTTTTACGAATAGTTTTAGCTTATTCCTATGTTATTTTTCCTGATTTACTTAGTTGTCTCTACTAAGTAGGCATTCTATCGGGACTTGTTTTATTCAAGCTTTAAATCTGATATTCCAATTTCTTCGCCTTTCAACCTTCTAAAATGGAACAACGCCTTTTCTAATTTTTCAACTTTCTCAAACAGCTTTGCCTTGAATTGTTGAATTTCTGTGGTAATGGTGTCCTGTTTCTGGACTATATCATTACGAAATGCCACCTGTTTGCTTTTCAACTCACGAAGATCCCTTGATACGTCTAACAAGTCATATTTAACGCCAATTTCCCTATGAAGAAGTTGTCCGGCAATATTTGGTATGTAATCAACTTTAGAGCAAAACCTGAAATTGTTTACATACTGCGTTATGTAGTGTATGTGATAATATATTATTATGATTTGCAAAATTTCTTTTTTTTGTAAGTTCTTACAAAGCAGCTGTTTAGGCACAATGCATTTTTTAGCTTGTTTATACAATTATCTGCTGACATGACTTGTAATTCAGTCGTTTGTCCTGTTTTAATATTTTTAACTTCAACTTCAAAATTAAAAAATATGAAAAAACGACATTTTTTAATACACATAAATGTGAACTAAGAGATAGTTGTCCATATGTTTGGTAAAAGATTAAATCTTAATAATTTATTTTAAGTTATTTATGGACAGCAATAATTTTGCCAATTACAAGTCATTTTAGAAAATATCTATTAAAATCATGCATGTGAGTGATGGTTCGAACACACAATTGAAATAATACTTCGAATATAACAAAAAGATTATGCATCTATTAACGTGTAGAGTAATAATTTGCGTGATGAAATAGTAATGAAGAATTTACTCTTACCTGTGAATTCCACAGAAATACAAACGTTACAGCATTACTTTCCATCATGCTGTTTTTACAATACATTTCTATCGTTTTCCTTCATGATATTCACACAACAACATGGTCTTCTTCCACTGCCTTGGGTTTTGACGGTGTTTCCTTCTTGTTTTCGTATTACTATCACAATCAGAAGAAGCAATTCAGTGGCTTTCTTGTATATTTTTTAAAACAAGGAAAAACTTTTACCGTGGCGGCATTTTGTTTTATCTTTATATAAATTTCATCCGGGTGAAATCAATTCCAAATATAGCCCCTATCTTTCGTATCAGTTATATTGGGTGCGCAGTTCACATAATAAATCGTGCGCGTAGAGTCATTTAAATTTGAATTTATAGACCACATGATTGACATCCTATATTTAATGATATTTTAAATCACAGGCATATTGTCAATAAATTTTCGTTTGACGGATTTTTCAGTAGGTTTAACCATTATGTGATTAATTTCAATATAGCTTTCAACAGAGTCTAGTCTCGACACATGAATCGTGTTGGGCATGCATAAACTGTTGTTTTAAACTACCAAAAGGTGCAAAACTGTAGTTGGGTTTGAGACTGAATATCTTTACATCGTCAACGTTTTCTAAATTTTAATAGGTTTTTATGAAAATATTAATTTTTAACTGACATTGTAATATTATTTTAGACAAATTTTGCATTGATTCGATGTGGACTCACATTATAAGCAAAATAATTAAAAAGGGAATCAGGTCAAAAAAATATAATATTTTTATGAACAACAAAAATAAAATCACATATATAATACTATGATGTGATAAGTTTAACTGGTCGAAATTCCTTTACGTATTAACCCTTTAAAGGACTTTGCAATCAATAAAAATACAAGGAAGTAATAAAGGCAAACGTAGCTTTCCTCTATTATATATATATACAAGCTTTCAATGAACATTTTTGATTTCGGACATAACAGCTGACTATTTGCTGGATATTTCTTTAAGATTTATTACAATAATATTCCGGATATTAAAACATTGGCAGATTTTAATTACAGATAAACACTATGCAGAGTTTGGCAAGATACCGTCACACCGTGATGCCTTAGCATAAAAGTTTGAATTTTAACAGTTCTAAGAACATTTATAGTAAGTCTTCTTGCTCTATGCAGCGCTTATATCAATTTCCCTTTATATTTTTTATTCTATTACATCAATATAGTTCTGCTGGCTTCCAAAACTATTGTAGGCACGGCTTTTATTTCCGCTGTTTCAATTTTTTTTTTCTTCTTGATTGCATTTCACGTCATGTCATAATATATAAACGGGTACGCTGAAAACCTTAAGCTACTTTGCAAATGGCACACATGTACATATTGTATTATATAAATGAATGGTGTGATGATGTTTATCTTCACGAACGTTATCAATCTCGGCGTAATCATTAAAGATTGATCGTTGAAAGTACATCGTTTTTTTGTTCATTGTTTACATACAACCAAGGTTCAATGTTATCAAAAGAACACTGACTAGATTTATATCAGGGGGGATAACGCGATACTGAATGTCAGGTTTTATTAACAAGATTGCCTTTCTTCTGTATTGCGAAACTATTATTTGTTAAAGTAATCATAATAAACATGTCTATTACTTTCTAATGCATAGTCGCCCCATATTAAGTACGTTCCTCTATAATTATATACTCTGTTATTCAAAATTATACATAAATCAACAAGGTTTTTATTCAGCTTTATATCACTATGTTCATAACAATGTAAACATGTGATCAATGGTGCGAGCTATAAGAAAAACTATAAAATAAAAATTAAACAAAATTTTTGGTAATCGCTATTGATCTTACAATATTTTTATGTCTTGATTGTTGCGTTAATATTTTATAATTAAATGATGCACAAAATATTTTAAGATCAAAATGAATCATTACGAATTATATGAGTATTTAATTGTTAATTACAAAGGCAAATAAATACCTATACGTGTAGTGTTCACAAAAAAGTGTCTTAATTATTTGATTAACCCATGATAATAAAAAAAAACCCATAAAATCTAAAACAAAATACAAAAAAGGAAATCAAAAACAAAATGCCTATTTTAAAGATAAAATGAAATTCAATGTGAAATGACGGTTTAAATCTTATTTTTGGATCTCACTTTATCCTCAAAAACAGTCGACAACTTTAATTTTAAAATAGATCTGATGCATCTCAAAATAGTGTTTGTAGTTACGTTATGTGCACTATTTACAGAGTATTTTAAATTCAATGAAATCTCAGACGGGGATATTATAATTTTATAATAGGTAAATTCGAATATGTATAGCACAACAATATGATAATATAATACGTTTCATTTCTTTCTTTTTTTCAAAATAAATGTAGAAATTTGTTAAGCTTTGATTGTTATGTTAGTTCCAAACTGTACAAATAGAAATATAACACAAACTCTTTGGGCTTCTTACTTTACATGCCTTAGTTTGAAAGCCTTGAACCTTTGTATATTTTTGAAAGTCAAAGAACATGGAAATGATATTATAGCGGATGCAAAACGTTTCAACGTTTTGAGTTTATATTCCCTATTCCCTAGCGCAAATAATAAACTTTCAAAAAACAAATCTATACAAAAATGCGTAATGTTAATCTCGCTTATTTTAAATGTAAAACCGTAAAGAAAATTAAACCTTTTCTTGATTTAGTCACTGCTAGCACGTTGAGTTAACGTGGCCTTATGTCAATCTAATTTTTAATGTTGAGAGTTGCAAAAACAGTAAAGAAGCTTCAACCTTTTCAATAATTGTTTTCAATTTTTACATTCGACTTAGCATCAACAATCGATTACCCTCCTGTCTCATAGCAGATAAACAAAAGAAAGTAAGAAAACGCTAAAACGGTTATTTAGCTCAATTTGACACCGGAAAATAAGCGTAATGTCATTTTAAAGGTAATCTTTATTCAAAAGATATTTTAGATAAAGCAAGTAAGTGATTTATATAAAGATATATATCAAATAAATTGCACTGATTATGTAACGATTATTACACTGTATAGTTGGCTATTTTGCAAATGATAAACAAATAATATGTAGTAACAAAACGTTAAAGCAACATGCATCAAGATTCATTCCAATTTTCATAAAAATTTTGAAAATGATTGTGTAACGATTAATACAGTCACCATAAAATAGGCTATTGTGCAATTTAATGATAAACAAACAATTAAGAAGTAACAAAACCGTAAAAGCAGCATACATCCAGAGCCAGGCTATTTTTCAGAACTGTTACTATTTAAAAGTGAACACACAAAGTTATTTACACATTACTATGGCAATTTCAATCCATGTAAATTATCAATAAATTGCAAAATATGCAAAACAAACATTTACTGTGTCAGTCAAGCAGAACAAATATGGTTATAAATACTGCAAAATCAGTCATTCATTGCATCTAACATGTAAATTATCACTTAAACTGTAATTATTTTGTTTTGTATTTTTCTTACAAATCTTAGTACATTTTATTTAAGGCTGAGTCACTTGAAATTGTTTGGCTCATCTGCATAAATGCCGCTTTAACTTTGTAAATTCATTAACAGATATAAATACCATAATCATTATATCACTAGAATTAATAGAAAACTTGCACTCGAGCTTTGTATTTCCATAGGACTTTGTACTTTAATCGTATTCCATCAAATTGTACGATAAGTTTTTAACCCATGGTTTTAGGACTCCTCCTGCCATATTGATCAAAATATAAATATGTCACTTAATCTACATTTATCTAAATTAATGAATTTATCAAAAGTATGTTCAAACAAACAATGAATAATGCAAATGAGGATTAATCTACACCCCTATATATATATTAGTAGAAATAATTCTGCCTCAAATTAATTAATCTGCATAATTATACGTTTTCCATAAAATGCAACAGGAATTTGTTAAGTTCACATGTATATGCATGTAACTGAATTAAATTGTAAATACTTAAAACGTTAAAATTTGATGAAAGTATAGAAAACACCAAAAAAATCTGTTTGGCTACAAAAATGATAGCCAAAATGGTGAAAAAATAGTCCGCAGGTACCACATAACTTTTCTTCACTAAGGTCTCAAACAGCATTATCCCTGTGTGTTTTACTGTCTACTATTCCTGCGATCTTTGTCATTGTACTTCTAATGTCCGATATGTTGAAATGAAATCCGCCATTATAATTACATGTGAACGAAATGGATGTCTTCAGAGCAACATCAGCCCAATTTAGGAAATTGATAACTTCTTCGCCTATTGGAACTTTCATGTAGTCGCTTAGTTTATCTATCCAAGAACGGTCAAGCAAAGAGGTGTCGTCTAGTCTAAAGAGGATTATATTACGGTGATATTGTCCTGAAGAGAAAATAGGACAGAAATGTGTTACTTATTGCAAATTCTTTTGAAAGAAGTAGATAAAGAAGTTTATTAAGTTTAACAGAAACAAAAACAATCTTTTATTTCTGCTGAAACAAACAAGAAACGTTTTAGGCTTTATTGTTCATGGTAGCCTTAAAATATGTGATCATGTTATTGTTATGTTGTTGTTGTTTTTTTTGAATATTTTTTTATAAATCATTTAAACATAAAACTTACTATCAACTTGAAGGTACCGGATATCATTCAGGCACGAGATAACGACAATTGTGTGTACATCAGCAACAAGTTCGGACGTCTCGATAAATTTCGAACGAATTCCGACATTTTGAGATCAGACTTTCCAAAAACCCTATTCTTTAAGCTCATTTGGCAAACAGCCGTTTCGGCTAGGAATAAAGATATTGGGAAAAAGGTGCCAACGTTTTTTTGAAAAATGAAAAAAATATAATTTCGAAAGTTATTAAAAAATTTCTTTTTCTTTGAAAAAAAAAATCAAAATGGGCTTTGTAAAATAAAGCAGTAACAAATGCTTAATGTGGTAACAGTATTGCTCTAAAATCGAATATCATATTGAATTTCACTCCTGTAATGCAACTGATTCTCAACCTTTAAGAAAATAAAGTATAACACAACAATAACCCATTTATATTACTTTGACTTATAGCGTTTTAAGGGACAGATAGATCAGACAAAACATATAGTTACACGATGTTTTCTTTTTCAGTATTAACATCTTTTTAAAGTCAATATTATGATATGCGTACTTCTTGAATTTACTTTCTTTCTTAAATTGAAGATGAGGTGTTTTCAAAAAATTTTATAACACTTATTTTAAAGTTCCCAAAATGAATTCATAAATCCTTGAAAGTAATTTTCATGGGTGGAATGAATGTTAAAGTTCTTCCTCTTCTAAAAAATCGGTTTTTGCCAATCCCCAGTTCAGTACCCCCAGATTTTCTGTTTTTCGCGACAAAGCGTCGTTTAGCCAGTTTCAGCTTAACAAACATCCCAACTTTGTCGTCTGATGAGTGTTGCTGAACTTGGTGTATGTCCTTCTCAACCTCACTGAGCATTTTATTGACATTTGCCATGTCGTGATCTAAGCTTGTGGTTATAGAACTACATCGCCGCTCAACTTCTTGAAAGGAAATTCGTTCTTTATCTTCAGCTTCTTTGACAAGTTGTGCTTTAAATTGTTGTATGTCTGCTGTTTTTTCTTCCCGTTTTTGTTCAACCTCTTTATAGAATGTCGACTGTTTATACTTAAGATCTCGCAGATCACTTGCTATTTTTTGTAAGTCATGTGTCACATCATCGTCTTCCTGTATGTGATGCTTTGCAATATTTTGTATGCTCTCAACAACGCCAAGGTGACCGCAGAATCTATAATTTAAGTGCTAAATCAACTTGTATTTTCATAAATGTTAAGATACATCCTGCTGTAATTATGTCCACAAAACACAATTGCCTTATGTCACAAATGACCATTTTATATCTGTTAGTATAATCATTCTCTTATATTAAGAGCAAGTAAGCTTAAACTCTGACCAATAGATAATTTCCAAAAAGGTGTATTTTTATAAGATAGGCTCGTTTTTGCATTATCTTAAAATAGTAGTTTTGTTACTTCTCTATTGAAATATTTTGCTAAATAATAATTCTCGGCGAAACAATAGTTATATCAAATTACAGAACATAAATTCAATAGAAATACATGGTGATCGTACAATAAAAACAATATTACTATCAGGATTATCTGAAAGTTTTTTTATACTCATTAGGGTAATTTTCGTTTATTTCAGCTAGTTGAAACAAAAGTTTAACAAATTTGACAACATATAAATAGTTCGAAATAATCTTACTCAGAAGTGTCTCAAATGAACATACACATTAGAATCTCAAATCAAGAATGTCCTCATTTAAATGAGAAAAGTTGTATTCAACAGATCTGCTAATTTTTCAATTTTCTTTTGTTACATGAGAAGATAATCAGGTCCCTAGCTTTTCAGGCACATATTAAAACCAGCACATCCTTAAGCATCATCTTTTCCTTACCATCATAAGCAAACATAGCCATTGTTCATTGAAGGGGTAATTTGTATAATAATGACTTAAATTAAGTTAAAAAAATTACCCGTGGTCATCATCAATGCATCTTTTACATCCGACTTCGCCATGAGAAAAGCAATACAATGTTATGGATTCTCCTTTGTGATATTCGCATGACTGGAACTCTTTCACTTCCTTTCGATTTTGTAGATAATTTCTATCTCCATCATCACTTGCACCGAGTATACAACTTTCATCTTGTTTTGTAAACGCGTCACTTGCTCTTATTATAGTATGGTCTTCAACACTTTGATTGTGAAAATCTAAACACTTATCGCAGAAGTATTGTACACAGTCAACGCATTGAAATAATCCTTCAGTGTTTTTACCTTTGTTTGAACATGGATAGCAAGAAAAGTCGTATATATAATCCGATGATTGTATCACTGATTTTTTCTTCCGCCTTCTAGATCTAGATCTTGCTGCCATTTTGTTTTGTCGTTACGTATATCGATTTATATACCTGCACAGGTAAGCGAATTATTTACATCTAGGCTACCCGGTTATCAGTATAATAAACTGGTTTTTAACATGCAGCGATGCGTTTCAAGTGAAATAGTTTCATTAAACGTTCTTAACTTTGAACATGCTTTAAAAATATCTTAAATATAACATATCAAACAGCTGCCAAATATATTCTTTTTTTAAATATAGATGTTATATTATTCATTTTTTATTAAACAAGTTTTTCGCAAGAGTAGCAATTACGGTTTAAATGCACTTTTGGGGTTTAAAACGATTTGAGATAAAGAGACCTTATCTGTTTTTCATGACGGCGATGAGCGGTTAACGTCAGCAATATATAGTGTATGAGAAGTGAATTGTATTTTGCTTTGGTATTTTGGATCAAAAGCTTAATTGATTATAAACGAATTTCGAGTCGAATAAAGTTAATGGCAGACTGCAATATCTAACTAACAGTATAAACAAGTAAACCGACTTTTTTATAATAAGGCATTGCCAAAATCTAATCAAACTTGGCATTTAATTCTTTAATGCGTAGTAATGATTTTTATATTTTACTGCATTTTGATACTTATGTTATGGCATATCATAAAATTTCTTAAATTTAAATTTCTTCATCCTCCGCTTGCTACTTGCACTGGCCTTTTGTTGACATATTGACAACCATTCTTTCTACATTTAGATATGATCCGAGAAAAATAGAATGACTATTTCTAAACCAATTAAGAAATAATTAATTTCCATTCCACCTTATATCAATTACTTTGTTTATTTATTTATTTGTTTATTTATTTAATTGTTTTGTTTGTTTGTTTTTGTAACCTTATATACTTAGTTTACTTAAAACTAAAAATTACTTATACATTAACACTGACATTAATTTTACTTTGTTATTCATAATTTTACTTTTTTTTCATCCTATCAATTAAAAGCAAAGCTATGTAAGTATAACAAATATCATACGGCATCAATCGGCATTCAAATTCAATAATGTTATTACACGCATGTACCCCTTACAACTCCACTGATAAACTGTATGGCGTCAGCAGTGTCTTTCTCCTTACGTTCATCGTCCTCTGTATCAATGTAGACAAAGGGTATTTTGTCTCTTTGGCATTTGTTGTCCGCATATCCTCGCATATAACTTTGATCTTTAACTCTGGGACCAGATCCAAACAATTTACCAAAGTAACCTTGTTCTGGCTCTTTAAAACGTACACTTGTCAAACATACCATCAGTATTTGGCAATTTTCCACTAAAATGTAACAGAATCGGTGTCTCAAATAAATATTTATGCTTAAACATTTACTAAATATACATATATGACAATGTTGTTGGATGTCTCATGTATTTCTAAAAAAAAATGAATAGAGGCATTGGAGTATTCAGTCACTTTGACCGGTTGTTGTCGGCTTATCACATTCACTAATTATGTTTTTTCAAAACAGATCAACATATCATTCCCTCCTTACTTAGATAGTAAAATAGATTAGTTTAAAACTAACGACTAGCCCCGGTAGTAGTATTGCAGCTGACGAAATATTCACAAAGTTAAATCAGTCGCAGATCAATCCTGCAGAAAAACATTATTAAATGGAGATCCATATTTTGGTAATAAGAAAAGGGGGAAAAAGAGACCTTAAATATTTATTTTGTCAATATGTTTGTAATATGATACGTGTAAATATATGGTAATACTTACGTTTATTCAATCTTTTTAGGTCAAATAGTATGCCGTACAAATCCGACGAGTTTGATACAACGCACACAGTAAGAACATTAGAATTGAATTCATTTGCTTTGATTATCTTCGAACGTATTCCAAACCCAAGAAGGTCAGACTGCAATGAACGTGTTGGTAAGTCCGTGGCGTTTGTATCCCATCCAAGAAGAATGTTCACGACATCTCCGACAGGTCGGCCGATAACTTAAATGTATAAAAAATTTAATGTATAAATCTTACTCTGACTGTTTCATGTAATACCAATAAATAAAAGCATATGGTAAATAGATACCTGAATGTTACTAATTTTTGGAAAACATTTTTTTTTTCTTTTGAATGGTGGGATTTGCTTTGTCTTTCTTAAATGCAGCATTTTATATTTTGAAATGTAATTGTTTCTTATTTATGTATATACTGCAGACCCCAACCTTAAGTTAAGATTTATGTATTCATGTCATTACTTTACAAAATTTTGTACATAAAACAATGGCATACTCCATACAGTGATAACACTATGATTTCTTTACATAATGTACAAAAGCATCAAGTTTTGTCAAATCTAGATACAAGCTTATTTAATTGTTACAGTATTTCATGACGTTTTTTTTTTTGTTGTTGTTTTTTTTTTGTAAAAAGGTATGAAAAATGCGTATAATATCATGATATTGCAAGTCATTGTTGCAAGAAAATGTACTGCACTCTCTTTGATATATTTGAAACAGTGAATTAATAAGTGTATAAAACATGAACTATATTACCAGCATTACCATTTAACTCTCCAAAAGAACTTTCTTCCAGGCATTTCTCGAATATGCTGTTACGTTTAAATATTAATCTTTTTGAGGGTTCCCAAAGTAACTCTGATGCACATTCAGTTACTTTAGCTGTGTTATATTCCGCCAGTTTCACGGTAACGAAATGTTCCGTGTCATCGTGAAAACTGTCCCGCTCTAATTTCGAAATGAACTTCTTAACATCTTCTTCCATGCAGTCGAGTTTGTCCATGTCAAATTTTAACCCATGAGCTATGGCCTCGTGTCTCGTCGTAACTTCTAAAATTGAAGATTTTGCTATTTCTTCTATTCGTTTCAACAATTTGTTTTTAAACTCATTGATGGCATCTAAAATATTATCAAGGTTACCGTTCACCTCTTTAAGATATTCTGACAACTTGAACTTGATGTCTTGCAATTCGGTGTGAAGGTTCACCAAACCTGATTTAATCTTTTCTTGATTTTGCTGCAGCAGTAACGAACTTGCAATATCAGGTATATGGTCCACACCATTACAATTTCTACAATTATAAATACGATAGGAATAAACAACGAAGGGTAGAGTAGAGTACGTGCTACAATGTTTAATATGCAAATGTTAACTTGACAATGCAAAACTGAATACATTTAATTATTACCTTAGTGCGTTGAGAAGAATACCACTTGAAGTGGATTGGTGTACAATGGGTAAATTTACAATAAATATTTAACATAGCGATAAAAAACAATAGAAATGTATAATCATGTTGAGGTTTTTTATGACATACTTCCTAGCCAAAAAATACAGATAGGGTTGTAAGTTATTTTGAGATGAATATAAACATTCATGAATAATAATACGTTGTTCTTCTACTGTTTGACATATATATACATGCCACATTGTAGCGCGCACTAACAAACAACATTCATAAAAAGTATGACTATTTCCTTGGTTGTTATCATCATAACCTTAGAATGAATTACCGACCTTTCATAATGAAACTACAGTGGCACAAAGGTGACATGTGTGTGTTTTTACTTATCTCGTGCGAACGAGATACTATGTCGTGGCCACGAGTTACTAAGTCGTGGCCACGAGATAGCTTAGTCGTTTCCACGCGATACTATGTCGTGGCCACGAGTTACTAAGTCGTGGCCACGAGAAGGCTAAGTCGTGGCCACGAGATACTATGTTGTGGCCACGAGATACTATGTCGTGGCCACGAGATATTAAGTCGTGGCCACGAGATAAATAACCAATCAGATTACATCATTTATTTTAATTTCCCTAATTTATAGACATGTGCTATAGTACAAGGATGCCCCTACTTCACCAGCCTGTAAAAGTGTCCTTTATACAACTTATTGACTGGTCAATAATTTTACATTCAGCGTCACTGTGACCCTGATTTTTTACCAAATAACCTCGAAATTATTAGATGTCATCTACTGATCAGGTTCAATGATCTTTCTGGGTTGTATAAACCATGCCTTATCCCTTCTAAATTATTCATCAGACAAGGATTTTACATGAAGTGTCATGGTTACCTTGACCCTTGACCTCAAACATCCTTATAGGCTATGTACTATCCATGGGCAATGTCCCTTCCAAAAAAAAATTACCAAAACCTATTCCTTCTCATGTTATCGTACATGTATAAACAATGTTAACAGGTCGTAGTACATACAAACTGACCAATTTGATCACAAAATTATTGTCTGATGGGCCTTGGAAGGTGAGTTTCTAATATGATCCTAAAGACAAGTTCAAAGTGAATATCTTCAGTATTTTAAAAGTTTAATGTTGTATGTAAAAGTAAGTTGTTAAGTTTATAAACATCATAATATATATTGTGTATTCTGATTGGTTAATTCTCTCGTGTGCACGACTTAGTTATCTCGTTCCCACGACTTAGTAACTCGTGGCCACGACATAGTATCTCGTGCCCGCGACTTAATTATCTCGTGGGCACGACTTTATAACTCGTGGATACGACATATTATCTCCTGGCCACGACTTAGCTATCTCGTGGCCACGACTTAGTAACTCGTGGCCACGACATAGTATCTCGTGCGCACGAGATAAATAAAACATACATATGTCAGCTTTGTGCCACGGTATGAAACAGTTCACTTAAAGTCAATATAATATATGTATATAATAAAAATTAAAGTAAGCATAAACATGCCTGTTTTATTGCTAAAACCATTTGGTTACATTGACACACATATGAATGTATTCACGAAGCAAAAGCTTGTTTAATGTCTTAAAGATTCTTAATTTGCTTTATACTTCATATACTTTAATTAACGTATTTATTTCTTCTTTTTTGGTAAAGTTTTACTTTGTATTTGTTGTTTATTATCATTATTGTTGTTTTTATGGCTATAAGGGATTTGTGTTTTGTTGTTTTTTGTTGTTGTTTTTTTATTGGCTGTTGTTTTGTTTTGCCAAATCACTTAGTCCGTCTGAATTTGCAAAACGTTGTCCAGTAATTTTCCAAAAGATAAGGTTCAATTTGTAAAATTGTAACTGTGTGCACGCTATACTTACTTGTGTTTCAAAATACATACAGCACAGAAAATTGCATCATGTTCGGCACAGTACATTTCATAAATCCTTCCCTGATGTTCTTCGCAAGAGTATCCAGAAGATTGTACTAAATGGTGACATTTATCCTTTGGGTTGACATCCACCACCTTATGGTCTTTAACAAACGATTTGTGTCCATCCCAACATCTCTGACAGTAAAGTTCCTGACATTCGACACATTTGTATACAGCCTCCGTAGTTTTGCATGGGAAACAAGGAAATTTAAGACACGCATCCGAACCTTTATTTAATGAGTCAATGAAGGATTTGCATGTTGCCATTGTTTAGGTTCTTACTGAAATGATATATAATAGTCATGCTTTTTTAGGCGTACTTTCAATAAAAGTTACTGCTGAGTAAATAAGATACTTTCAACACATGTATTCTGTGTGTTCAAAGATAAGTATAGTCATTGAGTTACGCAAAACAAATCGCATAAGTGCACACAATTTTGAAATTTATTTGCATAAAATTATATCTTTACTTGGATGCAAAATAGCAAAGTGCTAAATCAAAATACATATCCTTGAATTCAAGTTACGATTGAATCGTCGTAAACGGGTAATTTGTTTTTAAAAAGTAATTGCAAGGGGTGTCTATTTATCAAAGTTTATATTATACCACACATTTAAAATCTTAACTTAAAATATTGATCATTAAAGCGTAAGTTATACGTTTTTCTTTACAATATACTGCTTAAACCGACATTAAGACGACATAGCCTTGTCACGCTTTATTACTTTATACAAAACAAATAAAGCATCTCTCTTTTTTCTGTTGTTGTTGTTGAATCGTTCATCACTCATCCATACAAATGAGGCAAATATTATGTCAAAATATCTTATTGCAAAGAATCAGAATCTAACGTATAATTGATACATTACTTTACTATATTTTTGAATTAGTAAAGATCGATATAAATATATAGACACGCATACCCGTTAAACAATTTACAAAGGAATTCATGTCACTTTATATTTAACAAATTCTTTTCCCGTCTCATTTACATGTCTTGATATTTTAAAAGATAAAAACATATTGAAACTATGAAAATAACTATATAAATGTACTTGCCCGACAAGCGGACATTATCCCCCTGGTATTTTAAGCCAGTGCACCATACATATGTACATAGCATACAAGCTTGAACAGGAACGTTCTCGAAGACGATTTTATTTTGTAAAATAATAGAAGAAAACATTATATTTTGTTATTAAGGTACATTTTTTATTCAAGTTTCTTTTTAATATTTTAGGGATTTTTTTTCTATTTTATTTTGTACGTTTTAATATCGATGAAGTCTAGCAAAAATGTTATATTGACTGTATGCATGCAATTATTTAAAAACAAACATAATTCCCAAAATACCACATACGAAACGTATTTGTCGAGTTCGCTCAACGCATGACTATAACATATAGTTCATATTTTAAATAAGTGATTTTCTTAGTTTTGAATAAATCTTTCTATAGATATTAATTTGTTAAGGAGACCAATCCATTGATAATCAATACCATATACGTTCAAGATACCTGATACCCAAGTGTTACCAACATTTTCTAAAAAGAGACAAGAACACAATTCACTCGTTTACAATTAAAGTCTTATACATGTATGTCTACATACATTTAATAAACGTATAATCATTGTCATTCTAAGGAATGCTCAAATCATTCCCTTCAAAAGCAATATGGAAACATTATAATATAGTGAGCAAAGCCTCAAGAAATATCACTCATTGCTTCGAATAATAAAAAAAAGATTTAAGATAAAGTTTGCGTCATTTTGATAAAAGAATTTCTCAAAATACACTTTTTAACAAAGTAAATTCTTAAGTTGTACTTACCCCCGAAACAGTAAAGAGCCTCAAACTATTTGATATTTAAATATTTAGACACCATGATTTTAAAGATTTAGTTGGACTAACTATTTTTACACACCGATGGATTTGATAACATTCACACGAACTTTACATTAAATATATTTAAATGATTACTTAACCGTCGACGTCGCCTCATTTGTAACACTTGAGTTACTATTTGTTAATTTACACCATGAAGAAAACTTGAGGGAATATTATATGTGAACAATACCAGAAACAGCTTATACAGTGTAATGAATCTGTTTCGGTATCTAATTGCCTGCTTTGCCTTTATCATCTGGTAATTAAAATCAGTATTATTAATTTCAATGCGTTTGCTAAATGTAATATACGGTCATTTATTCTACAGCTGTTCTGTTTTAGCCACTCGACATTTTGTGCACCCAATTACAATCTTACTAAAGTCTAGATCATCTACTTTTAAATCAGTTATTTCTTGCATGTTGATCTGATTGCCATCGGATTTGTCGCAACTTCATTGTGGTAAAGATTTCCCGAGAAAACTATTTTAGCCATTCATTGGTTGTTTGAAAAGTCAGGAGAAGGTAACCTCCCATTGGTTTCGATCAGATCCTAATGCGTGACGCTAACTAGGATTTGGTTTCGATCAGATATTAGGTCCACCAGAACATAATTATGAAATATAATATGAATCATAAGAGATAAGATGCAGCAGCAGTATAGGACCAAAACGTTATGGTCGGTCCGCTTTATGAATAATGACACGAAGGTTTCAGCCCGAGAATCATTTTCATTTAAAGCAGATTAATACTTTCCGTATGGTCTTTGATTAGAAATTATGTATTTTATGCGCATATTGATATTGTCTAAAATAGATAAAAACAGAATCCCTAAAGAAAGCCCAACACGGCAAAATTGAAAATGTTTCAGGCTCGGTTTGAGGCTGTGTGTTTATGAAAGTTACGCCTAAGTTGTTATAATAAAATCGAAAAATTCATTCATTTGAAAATCAATGTTTAATGTAGAGATAAATAAAACACACCAGAATGATAATATATATGTATTATTGCATTAAAGCAAATTACATAGATCAGTAGCATGGAAAGCTATACAAAAGAATGTATTTCAATTTGGAAATTAAGTCATGTAGGATGATTCAATAATTCTTTGTAAAGACTTCAATAGAGGTCATGTCTTTCATTAGATAGCAACACTGAAGACTCAATATTACTGTTTCAATATTCTTTACTGCAGTTAATAAAAGAGTGTTTCATAAACTGATTTTTGTATTGCTTATCTAGCAACTTGCCTGGCAATACGCAGTACTAGTATGTAGGAACTTCACCTCTTCATTGCCTCATCAATATTGATTTTGCGGTCATAAGGTTTAATTTTAAGTTGGTCTTGATGACAAAAATTGATTGTATTATCAAGCAATGTATACCTCAACCTCAGTGCTTTCTATGCTTTGATGTTTTGACAGTGATTAATTCAGTGCGCGTGCGTTGATAAACCGTGCCATTACGAAATGGACCTGATCAATAGGAAGGAAGTCAGTCCAGACAAATTAAACTTCAATTGTAAGAGTACTTGTTTATTAAAACAAAATGAGCAAAATATCAGACGTAAATGAGTTAATTTGTCTTATAGGTATTTTATTACTCATGTCATATACTGAACAAAAGTGAGCACTTTTCAAAACCTAAAGATTATTTCATTTGACTCCTTTTAGATTCATTTTTGCAAATAATTGGATCTAACTCACTTCAGTGTTGGAACATTACGCTTGACAAAAAGCATGATCGCAAGTAGAAAAATATCGCTTTTTTCGGAGATGCTTACACTTTTCATCCAGTCTCACTTTTTGTGTTTGCATAAGTGTTTTCAGTGTCTTCAATTTAAATGTCAAAGTTATGTGAGAAATAACTCAGACATCAAAGTCCAATAAAAAAATACTTGATTGGTTGTTATAGTAGGAGCATCGAAACCCGACTCTATCTGATTGGTACGAGGGGGTGTAGCCCCAGAGTATAAGTCAGATTACAGGTGTTTTGTTTTTCTCTTTTGTACCATAGGCAAAGATTAAAACACGTTCTCTGTCGTCACATTATTATACTCGAGACAAAGGTAACCAATATGTGAGGATGTGAATATGATTATTCTATCTTTTTCTTTTCCCTGTCTTCGCAATAAGTAAACCCAAGAAAAACTAGAACTGTATCCAAAGGACACGGATGCCCCAACTGACAACATATATATGGTATATAGTGAAAAATTCAACAAAGGGTCATAATTCTATCAAATTTGGTCTCAGCAAAAATTCCTTCCTTTACTTCCATCTACACATTAAGGTTGCTCATCCCTGAAAGTTTAAGCAAAATCTGCAATCCCGTTTAAGAGGAGTTGCGTTCACAAATTTTCCATATGGTATATAGTGAAAAAATCAACAAAGGGCCATAATTCTGTTAAATTTGGTCGCAGTAAAAATTCCTTCCGTTACTTCCATCTACACATTGAGGTTGTTCATCCCTGGAAGTTTAAGCAAAATGTGCCATACGGTTTAAGAGGAGTTGCGTTCACAATATTTCGGGACGTACGGACGAACTGACGGACGGACAAGTGCAACGCTATATGAACCCCACTTTGTGGGGGCATAGAAATTAGCCAATCAACGAGCATGCTCTACACAGACAGTGAGTGCAAGTAAACGCACAGTGTTTGTAATTGGTAATTTGTAATATGCGATTTAACTTTAACACGTTTTCAATAGTTAAGTATCTGAACTATGATACAAGAAGTATAACTCCATAATGAAATTTGGTCCTCTCAAAAACAAAATTGTCTCTCCTTTTAGAATCAGAATTTTTTTTTTTTTGTTATAGGTATTGCATATATACAGTTTAAATTTTGTTTGATTGTTTTATGATTTAAAAGTTCATGCCTTACTTATAATACATTCTGGCAAGTTTAATGGATATGCTATAATTATTATAAAAATTGAAACAGAGAGAGAACAATTTAAAAGATTTGTTTTTCTTTTTTTGACAAATTGGTTTTTTAAAAAAGATCGGCCAACTTTTTATATTAAGGACTATTTAAAATCCCCACTGGGAATGGGTAGCAAAAAATTTTAGGGTATCATTTATTAAAAATAATTATATTTTTAATTAGGGGGAATTTTGGGGTCTAAACTGTTCAAGAAGAAAGTTCTTATTTTTGCTTTTCTTTTTTTCCTTTTCTTTGGGGTCGGTGGGTTTTGGGGTGGTAAAGGGGGAAAAAGGCAGGGACGGTGGGTTTTATGTCGGCCGGCCCGGCCGGCCCGGCAGGCGGGCAGGCGGGTGGGCGGAAAAGGTAAAAAAAAAACCTTTAAAAATTTACCGCCCAAAATGAAAACGGTTTTAAAAATTTTAAAAACCAAAAAGGCCCTTGCCCAAAAAAATTTTCAATTTTTGCCTTTTGTTTGGGCCTTTTTTTAAAAGGGTTTTTTTCCTTTGTATTTATCTATTTTATGATCACATCCGTGTTATTTGTGCCGTGTGGCGGCTGTAAAAAGTCTCCCCGTACATTTAATCAATGATGTTTATATTTTCGATCCTTGAAGATCGTTCAGCACGACATTATTGTTGTGCTTTGTGGTATTTTTTGTTTTCAACTTTTCGGCATTTTCTAGTTGGGTGGTTCCAATATTCCTACTTGAATAATGTTGAATCACCCTTAGGATATGTTGCCTGCTTTTTAAATTTGTCTTTTGACGTCTTATCTGTGATACGCAGGCTTCATAACCTCTGATCCCCTTTCAAAATTCCATTTTATTTAGTTCCGCCCATTGTTTTCTCGTTTAGGGCACACGCTTTTTATTACTTGGGACCATACGCCGCTTTTCATGGAATGGCACTTACGTGTCACATTAAGGTTCCATGATAACCCCCGTATGAACAACATTCGGATGTTTCTAAATTCAAAATTTTATTTAATTTCCCCAAGTTTAAATGTTTAAATTCGCTTTAAACCCCGGGTTGCTAGGGGGGGTGGGACCGGTAAAATTTTTTGCAACTTTTCAGTACCGGCCCCCCCAATGAACGGGACAATTCAAAATTTTCCGAGCCTCCAAAAAATTTTCAAATTTTGGGTGGGTTTGGGGTTTTCTTTAAAAGGGATTCTGTTTTTTATCTATTTTAAAACCAAAACTTTTTAAAACAAAAATATTAATGAAAAAATTTTAAACACCAATAAAAACCAAAAGGCTTCTATTGATTCAACTCCTCTTTTTTTAAACACTTTTAACAAAACTTTGTTTAACTTATGGTATACATATACTGATTTTTAAAACCAAATAAAAACTTTTAAAAAATACATGATGAGTATAAAAAAGTCATGACATGCACACCAGCACCAAGGATAGCACATAAAGAGAGGGTGACTCTTGTTTCCATTGTGGCCCCCTGTGTTTGTGGCGTGACATAGAGAGCCTTTATCCATCCAGTGCGAATACAGACTTTTAATTAAATATAATTATATACAGTAAGACTTCAATTATATTTACACATACAGACTAGAAATAGAGCATTGAATCACACTGTTCAAGTTAAAACAGAATATATAACCTATGAGGCAAATAATAAAATTGATAAGCATTAACTAATTTTCAAAACAAACTGCAATGAAATAAAACTATTATTCAATAATAAAAAATCATTATATCACAGTCACAACTAAAACCTATTGCTAGAACATATTGCAAGATACCAAAACCCAAGGAATGAGAAATTAAAATGAGTATTATTTAGACTAAAACAAATGCATCATTTTATTTTCAATTTAAATGTGTGAAATAATTAACAAAATGAGTTAAATTCTTTCCTATACCGAAATACCTAGATGTCAACTATAAAACGCATATAAAAAGTATTGAAAAATAACAAACCGTCCATCATGTACTTCTTAACGAAGGTAACCTATTATTGCTAGAAAATTCCGTTGGCATACTGCTCCACAACGAACAACCCATAACGCAGAAGGACTTGGATCGAAAACCTTCGACCTTAGGGATTGCTACTAAGCGATCCTGTAAGAATGAACAGTGTCCTGTGGGATGAAATATTTCTTAAATGAAATTTCTGGGGGAAAAACCAATTAAATTTATTTTAAAAAAACATAAACAAAAGGAGCATTTTGTCTCCCACGGTTATTTAAAAAGGGTTTTACCATTTTTTTATTTTGGGGCCGAAAGGGGTTTTGGAAAACCAAATTTTTTATTTCCCATGAATCAATTTTTGAAACCCGGGGCAAGACAACGAAAAAATTTAATTTTTAAACTTTGGGATAGGGTTTTTTTTTTAATCATTTTCACTAGTAATAGAAATACACTTCTTGACGTCAGGTAAAGCATATAAGCATATGTCTCACTGATTTTGTACGATATCATGTGTTTCCGATATATGGTTTATCCGACAAATGGTTCATCTGATGGTCAGTCTGATATAAATATTGTTCAACATCAGGCTACCTAAATTTCAGTCGGTAAAATATATTCTAAAATGACAATAAAACTTAAGTATACTTTTGAAATAGATTAATGCGTAAAAAAACAGTTTTCGATGATAAAGGTGACCCTTAATTAATTCATTTTTTATCAAGATAACTGTTTAAACAACGACCTATTAACGATAAGAATGTGTGTCCTTAAACGGACCTGAAAATACTTAAATGTTACAGTTGTTAAATATTTATACACTTCTAACTTTAAATTCGTGGTGTTATCTCTAAAGATCTTGCAAAAAATCGTCCAAACGAGTGAACGATAGTGAAGGAAGAGAAGTAAGTTTACTTTATTTTTTTAAGTAGAGAGGTCTTCAATGGGCTCAATTCCAATAATTATTATTTTAGTTTTGATTAAAACAATAAAATGTACTTTGTGGATAATCTTATGAATTGTTGCTTACAAAAATGTCGATAAAATTCAAAAGGATGTTGAATAACATTTATACGATGAATAATATTATTTTGTTCTATTTAATTATCTTCTAGTATATAAATACTGGTTTGATGTTTTGGTTAAAACTAAATACAACCAAAGATTTTATTAATTATATTACAGACCCATTAAAATAGAACAAATCTCTTTAAAATTTGATTATATTACTTTCACAAGACAACATGTAAAGTTTTCTTGCATCATCATATATAATATTTCATCATCTGACCGTAACAATCACTAAAGCATTTGCAATGAGCGTAATATAAAACGAGAGACTGTGTGTGTACGTATGTGCGTGTGCGTGCGTGCGTGTGTGTGTGTCCGTGTGAGTGACCGGCGGTTGCGTACGCATGTGCATTCTGTTTATTTACCTACATATACTAATAAAACGAAACGATACGGTGATTATTGAAACCACTAAAAATTATTTTAAGGAAATGGCTTAAGTCAAGCCATTTTCTCCGCACAAACCCACGTACGTTTATGGTATGCATGCACTAGACTAGATAGTAAGTGGGTTTTAAGACCACTGATATCTTAGAGTTCATGACATCCTTGTCAACAAACTCCAACTCGATCTAAAATGATATCAGTACCTTCTTCTTATTTGCAGAAATCATAGGCAAGACAAAATGAGAAAAGGCAAGATATTTTTATCATTATTATAGTGTTATCACCAAATTAGTCTAAATTATACATTGTTGATTCTATTGGAAGAGCATACAGTTATGTAGCTTATACAAACACGACATACATCATGTATATAGGTTTTGAGGCCATACACGAGTCAGTTTTATTAGTATGGTCGTATTAAAAATGGTTTCTACGATTCACACTCAGCGTTTTTGACACTTTAACCTAACTTTGCTTCTTCTAGCACAATGTAGATTTGAAATGAAACTGAATTGTTGGTCTAAGAAAAAAATAAAACGTGGTAATTCGGAATACAATGTTGAATTTATATGCATAATTTGAGTTCAGAAAATAATACCGAGGCTAGATTAACTGCGTACAATAGTGATTTGATATGAAATTTTGGACTGGAAAATGAAAACAAAGCCTGTTTGAGTGCAATAGTGGCTTAATATTGTTCAAAGAGAGGGAAAATAAAAAAAAACAAAGGTTAAATTTGGATATTGAGATATCAAATGATACAAATGCTGAATGCAATATATTAGTAAATTGTTGTTTTTTTTCTTTGAATGAACGTGCCCGTTATTAAATTACGAACAGTAGTTATTCTGTTGCTTATAAAAGGGAAATTGAAATAAAACTCGTTTATTCTTTCAGAGTTGTTGATAGCGTCTTTCCTAGTGAACACTATTGCTGTGGGTAAGCTATTGTTCTATAAATCAAAAACAAAATGTCCATAATAATTTGTCTGAACCACAGTTGACAGCATTGCTTTAAGAATTTGGAGTACAACAGAAGATCATTAAATCATCAAATCATTTTTGATTGTTGTCTTATTTGCATTTATTTATCAATGAAATGTTATTAAAAATGTATTTTTTAATTTCCGAACTAATGAGTTTAAATTTAAGTATAATGTTAGAGATCATTTAGCACAAAATGAAATAAAATCTGTCTGTCCTGGCAAGTTGTTAAAATTATGTTTTGATTATTTAAACAGAGCGAGTATGCCACTCTGATTATTAAATGACAAGTTGAAGCTGAATAAATAAACTAAATGTACCACCTAATTTGAAAAATGGATCGATATCATTAGACAAAATATGATTTCAACCACTAAAAGTGTTTTGAACACGTGAAATAATAAATTAAACCATGATAAACGTTGCTGCTTAGCGATATATTCAATTTAACTTTACGCGAATGAAACAGATTTTCAAATACTTGACCAAAACCACGATTTTTGTTCTTTTCGGGTCGTTATTTTCGCGACAAGAGAACTGAAAATAGAACTTATTAATAGTTCTAGGCCTACTGCTGTGGTGTTCTGTAAAACGAACATTATTTTCAACAAAAAAGTGTCATAATCGCAAGTGTCATATATCATTTAATATCATTTAAAAGTATGTCAAAAAGTATGTCCAAACGATAAGACACCTAGTTTGGGCTGTTTATTGCAATTTGGAAAATCAACATATTTTTTCCCCCTGACCTAAAACCCTTTGTAAAACTTTCTTTTGTAAAATTTAATCTACCAAATTTTTTGGGCGTTGGCTTTTTTTACAAACAAAATAAAAATTTTTGAAAAATATCTTTTTAAAACTTGAAATATAAGATTTCCTTAGATGATAAATTATGAACTTATAATCACATACAGTTAAACAGAATTACATGTAGCAAAACAAAAACAAAACAAAAAACAATAGAAATGCTTACTTTTATTGTTGGATTTTACGTTGCATCAATGCAGTACAAGTTTATATGGAGATTTTCCATCTTTAACTGTTGGAGGAAGCCCCGGGTGCCCCTTCGTCCATCATTTTTGGTGTGGTTACCTGAGTGGAACCACTGATGTTAGGCAATCTAGTTGGATAGTTTACTCACATATTTGAAGAAATGTTAACAAATATAAACATAATTTGGTTGAACATAATAATTGTGCTTACGTTAATTTTTGTCAAATTTGATTTCAAAGGTCTATAGGTATATTTCATTAAATGATGCAACACATTGAACATTTTTTAATAGTTAAAAAAGAGTTATATATAATTTTGAAAAACATATTATATAGGTTATGGTTATTTTACGTTGCCGCCAAACAAATTGAGATGCCGTTCATGCAAAAGAGCCTCCGATCTTTCGGACTGTAACCACCTGGAGATATGTGATAAAACCCTTCAGGTATTGCAATAATCAAGATTCTATGATAAAGTACAATTATATCTTACTCTATGATAAAGTACAATGCTATCTTCATTCTTTAATAAAATACAAAGATAAATATTCATTATATGGTAAAGTACAATGATATCTTATACTGTGATAAAGTACAATGATACCTTGATTATTTGATAAAGTATACACAGCTAACGTCATTCTATGATAAAGTACAATTATATCTTATTATATGATAAAGTACCATGCTATCTTAATTCTATGATATAATACAATGATATCTTCAGGCTATGATAAAGTACAATGATATCTTATTCTATGATAAAGTACAATGCTATCTTCATTTTTGATAAAGTACAAAGATATCTTCATTATTAGGTAAAGTACAATGATATCTTATTCTAAGATAAAGTACTAACATGATATCTTCTTTCTTTAATAAAGTACAAAGATATATTCATTCTAAGGTAAAGTACAATGATATTTTATTCTGTGATAAAGTACAATGATATCTTGATTTTTTGATAAAGTATACACTGCTTACGTCATTCTATGATAAAGTACAATGATATCTTATCCTACGATTAAGTAAAAAGGTATTTTATTCTCTGATAAAGTACAACGATATCTTCATTCTATGATAGATACAGTATACACTAATAACGTCATTCTATGATAAAGTACAATGATATCGTATTCTATGATAAAGTACAATGCTATCTTCATTCTATGATCAAGTAGAATGATATATTCAGTCTATGATAAAGTAAAATCTTTATTTATGGCACAGTACAATGATATTTTGATAATATGATAAAGTTCAATGATATATTGATTTTATGTTAAAGCACTATGCTATCTTCATTTGATGATAAAGTACACAGAGGATATTTGTTTATCTCAGTGTAAGATCGTTATATATTTCACCGAATGAGCACAAAACGGTATATTTCACAATGGCGCAACCACAAGTGACATATGAACTATTGGTGTTCACGAGGTGTAATATATTTCGATCTTACACTTAACTTAACAAACTTTCTTTTGATCATATGCAAAGAAACATTTATAAAAGAAATGTTAACATATTACCAAATGGAAATTGCGCCAAATGATAACACAGCGTGACGTCAATTACGATGTGACGTCATTTAGTTGGTACACTTGTATTTCACTGAAATTACGTACTGTGTTTAAATTAAAAAACAGTGAAAAATATCAGATTGATTATTATTTCTGTTTCAAACAGTGAAATATCAGTTTTATATTTCACTGATATATTTCTATAAACCACTGAAAAGCATGTAATAAAAAGATATCTTCATTCTGTGATGAAGTTCGATGATATCTTATCCTTCGATAAAGTACATTGATATCTTCATTCTATGATAAAGAACAATGATATCTTCATGCTATGAAAAAGCACAATGCTATCTAAATTTATAATAAAGTACAATGATATCTACATTATATGAAAATAATACAATGGTATCGTCAGTTATGATAAAGTAAACAATGATATCTTCATTCTATGATAACGTACAGTGATATCTTGATTCCATGATTAAGTATAATGACATGTATATCTTCATTCCATGATTGGGTAAACTTATATCTTCATATTAGGATAAGTACAATAATATCTTGATATTATGATAAAGTACAATTTTATCTTGATTCTATACTAAAGTACAATATTGTCATTATATGTTAAAGTACAATGGAATCTACATAAGTACAAATATATCTATATTCTCTAATAAAGTACATTGATATTTCATTGTATAATAAACTAAAAAAAGATATCTTCAAATTATGATAAAGTACAATGCTATCTTCATTCTATGATAGTGTAAAATGATATCTTCATTCTATGATAAAGTACAATGATAGCTACATTCTATGACAAGGTACAAATAAATCTCCTTTCTATGGTAAAGAACAATGATATCTGATTCTATGATAAAGTAAACAAAGTATCTTATTCTATGATAAAGTAAACAAAGATATCTTCATTCTATGATTAATTCAAAAATGATATCTTATTCTATGAAAGGGTATAATGATATCTTCATTCTATGATCAAGTACAATGATATCTTCATTCTATGATAAAGTAAACATAGATATCTTATTCTATGAAAAGGTAAACAAATATATCTTCATTCTATGATAGGGTACAATGATATTTTTATTCTATGATTAAGTACAATAATATCTTTATTCTTTGATTAAATACAATGACATCTTTATGTTCAATAATTATCATGCAATTGTCATTATAAGACATAAAATTATTGAAATACCATTCCACAAGAAAGAATCATGTTTGAATCTTTATTCCAAAAACACGCACTTGAGTTATTTAAAATCCATGGCGTTAAAATGACGTAATTTCAGTTAGTGAACGAATAAATGACGTTTTTTCATATTTTAGGATTGTTACATGGAACAGGTCGTAACAGACACACAGTCAATTGTGTATAATGGAGGATGTCAGTCTAAACAGGTATTATTCCTGCAAAATAAAAAAATAAGTAATGAAATAGATTTAAATTGAAAAGCAATATTATATGATTTTGAGTGGGTGACTGATTTATCTGTGAAAGTTATTTTTGATAATTTCAAAGTACAACTTATCAAAATATAATTTCAAACTTTTCAATTAAGAGACTACTTTTTAAGATTTTCCCCATGTGGTACCTCACTTTTATTTATGCTTATAATTCCGACATATCTAGGGTTATTTAGGGCAAAACAAATCTAAAATTGATAAATAATCTAAATTTAAAACGTAATCATTCAACTTACCGATACCCAAAAAGGGCTTTTGAAACCTCCCTTCTTTTTGGATTTTCGTCCATTCAAATTAAACATAAAAATCGTTTTTTTATTTAAAGCAAAATGCATTGATTAAAATTTTGGGGGATATTCTTAGAAACAATAAAATTTTAGTAACTGTGTAAAAGCAATGACAGTCATCTGTCCAGTGGATAGGTAAATAGCCCAGCGTGGGTCAGGCAACCTTTTTAAAGATTCCATGTTTTTCAAATTTCTAGTCGCTTCTTGATTATATCCACATATGTTAAAAATTAATTATTGTCTGTAACAATCCACGAATAAGTTTTCTTCCTTATGATATATTTAAAATAATCAAATTCAAATGGAATCCCATTTTATTCTTTCCTCGCTTGAAATAAACAACTTTTAAAAATGGCAGTCGTGATAGAGACTTAATAAGTGAATAAAACAGAATTATGTTCGTCATGTAACTTTTTCATCTTTTGAAATGTTTGTATTCAATTTATATTTATTGATTAACACAAGCGATCATTGAATTTTATTTTTTTGTTTAAAATGAATGATAACATTGACATTTTAACGTTGATTTTCGAACCTATTTTTAACCCAAGACTTCTTGATTTATGAAAACTTCGTCTGAAATCGTAAACAAATTTTAATATTGAAGTTAATGCTGAGGACATTTTATCTAAACTTGTTTTAAGCGTAAAATAAAAAGAAATTTGTTTGTTTCTTCTGTTAGATTTAATTTTATTTCATCTCGTGAACCTTTAAAACAGTATTCTCACAAATGACGTTGCCATTATTGAGAATACAGCTTCTAAAGTCACTCACACACAAACGTAAATAAATAAACTCGATGAAATAAAAAAAAAATCACACATGAACGTAAATAAATAAAGACCAACATTTTCATTTTGTTTTAAATAAAAAATGTAAATACTTTCTGTATGTTTAGATGTTGAACGTGTTTAAATATAGGTCGGACAAAGAGCAAGGAAGTAAATAAAAAATAACAATCTTTATAAAATTCACCACCCTGTTTTAACTCTATTTATTGAATGCGATAAAAAGAACATATATAATGGGAAGTGACATAACTAAATACAGCAATATCGTGGTTTCAGGTTTGTGCCGTTGCTTCGGGCTCGACGCCTGTTGGTAAGAAAAGAGAGATGATAACTTGCTCCAGGTGATTGTGGTATTATATAATCGAGCTGCGTGATGACAAAACATACATAGTGCGTTTGCGACTAGCATGGATCAAGACCAGTCTGATCAGAATCCATGCTGTTCGCCATCAGTTTCTCTACTTGTAATAGGGTTGGTAAGCGAATAGCATGGATCCTGATCAGACTGCGCGGACGCGCAGGCTGGTCTTGATCCATGCTGGTCACAAACGCATTATGATGGTTTTGTCATGACAAGGCTCATTTATTGTATATGAACAAGCTACACACTTTTTTGTTATCAGAACATCAACGTTTTACTCAGTTAAGCATATAATGAGGAAAGGGCTAGGCGGATATCCACTTTGAAAACAATTCCACTTTAATTAATTGGTATAAAAGAAGACAAGTTTACATCAACTGTACACTGGAAACCTAGGGTTTTTGCATCCGATATCAACTGTTTTTACTCCGAACAATTTACGCCTGTGTTATAAACTGCTTAAGCACTTAATTCATAACAGTGATATGGCAAATATTATCTTATATTTTATTATTTATGACTTTAATAGGATTTTAATGCACATATATCTTATTTAAGATGCTGTAATACTGCCGATGACTGTAACAAACGTCTATGTGGATTGCAGGAACGTAAGTATTACATGTGAGAAACGCACCAAGGAAATATGTTTTAATTTTAATGATAGGTGTATCAATGTGTGACTTTTATAGAGGTCCTCAAGTAATGCTGCATACAAAATATGCTCATGAGTCATGAAATAAAACTTTTACACACAAATTTGTGAATTACTTTACAACAAAAGTGGAATAACTAGATGAGCCCCAGTTGTGTTTTTTGTACGAATTCGAAAATAATTGGCATGATTTGTACATATTTTGTAGGGCCTGCAAAGCAATTTTACAAGCCAAAAATCTAAACACTTGGCATTGTAGGTTTTATAGTTTTATAGGAGATGAATTCATCATTAAATTGATTTTTTTCTTGTGACCTAAATATGCATGAGACAGTTATCATGTATTAAGTACAAAAAAGTGAGATTAATCTTAAGGCTTCCACGTGATCATCCACGTGATATTTATTTAAAATCGACCTCTCGCTACAGGAAGAAATGTTTTGTTTCTTTTTTTTAAGATGAATTGTATGCAATGAACGTGTAATGACGGACACTTTCATTGCCATTACAAACTCAAACATATGAGAATAATGCTATGATGAGCTAAAATCGTGCTTTAAGTGATGTCCTATTCTTTTATTATTATTTTTTTTCAATTAACAAGCCTCAACTAACTCCGTGCGATGCTACCACTGTGACCACAGAACATCATCTCAAAGTGAGGTCAAAGACCCAGACACCTGTGTTACTCTTGGGTACTGTCAACCAAATGAGGTAAGTTATATATTCAACATATAATTGAACATATCACGTCATTAGTATCTACAAAATTATTTTTTGCAGTTTGCAACTTTGCTTTGTATTTTCAGTTGACTTGTTTGCAAAACGTACATTTTTAATTATTTTTATGAAATTCCTTAATGTATTTTCCTGGAATTAAGTTCTACCATTTCCTAGGATATAGTGGGTTATGTCAACCCAAAAAAGTGGTATGTTATTTGAGGGATGATATGAAAGCTGAGTCCTGACACTATCCACAACTTTCCCAACAGCAATTTGTAATTTATTTTACTATACATCATACCTAAAGTACAATATAAATAAATTATATGCATTGATAAGAAATATCTGGAAACGACGACGATGGGAGTAAGGTAATACAATACTAAATATGGATGCACGCTGAAATGATGTGCGGCTGTGTATTAAAAATGACATCCGGGGTATAATATCTACGAGGGTGAGAAGGGTTCTATGTGAGTCAAGTTCTCTGTAGAAATTATAGATCGAGGATATATTATTATAACTCATATATTTTGTGTTATTATATCAAAATACGTGAAATTCAGTATAGATTAGATCCTTTTCAGTTGATTTACTGCCATGTTAATAGGATCATCCGAAAATTGAATTTGAATTAGAAATGCTAATAAACATCAAACCGTTTTGTGATATTCAATTCAAATAGAGTGACAATGTATTAACAATATATTCCATTGCATTTGTGAACGACGAAGGTATCGTTTTTTTTTAAATCAGTCAGAATTATAAACATGCTTTTGCAAATATCTTATCTAACAGAAATGTTACGTTTCACAATATGACGTTGGTGGAAGAGACACGTATTTCTACGGATGTCTTAACAAAGTGGTAAGTAAAATTGTGATGTTGCGAAATGATGTGTTCCATTTTTTTAGGATTAAATCATCGAAAAATAAAATGAGGTTAAAATTCAGTGTTCAGTACAATTTACTGAATTCTTTTGGACGAGTACGTATCTGTTTAACCTATATTGTGTCCAACGTAATCAGTATAGTTCTTAATCATGTTTAATGACTTTTTTAATTCTCATCACTATTTTTTTTATATTTTACAAACTTTGTAACTTAAATTACAAGGACTTGATATGAACTTTGAACTTTTGAAATAAAAACGAGGTTATAAGGAGTGTGATGTCTATTTTGATACGGACTTTTTTGGGACTTTGGAAATGAAAAAGAGGCTAAATTGATACGATTTAATCAAATGTTGAAGGTGCATTGGTTTTATTGTATAAGATGTGAAATTGCAACAATCATTGCTTAACTATGTCTTTGGAATATTTGTCCTCTTGTTGAAAACCGTTTAGCGGTAGATCCACCCTTACCCTACCTGAGCTTCTTAAACATAAAGTTACCAGTCCTATTATATTAAATTTTCATTAGATTTATTTTATAAAGGGACAGAAATGTACCTTTAAATAGTTAAAATTAATAATCACTTCTTTTACGTCACAATCCTGCTGTAGCCGGTGATTTTGATGACCAGACTGAGTATTGAAACAGTAACACTTAAGATACTAAGTTTTCATCTAAAATGTTAAATAATTGTACTTTCGCGGTAAAAGTTTGAATATAATATGTACCAGTATATGGGACTCATTTTCACTCCTCAATTATCATGGACTCATGCAAACGAAAAAAAATGGCATCTCAAGCCAAAAAGGCATATTATCGTTAAAACTTTTGGTCATTTTACAAGTAATGAATTGTTTAAAATTTTTGATTATATGATTAAACACATTTAATGCTACATTGTATGGGTCACAAAAAAACAATTTTTTATCGAAAACATTTATTCGTGAAAAACTACAAATAAACCTATCATGGTTTTAGGCGAATGTTGTAGATTATACTTAAGTATTTCGTATAATTATGATAAACTGTTTACGATATTCTTGTAAATTTCTGACCATTCCCTTATCTAGATATCAAAAGTGATATTTAATGTTGAAGTCACTAGACGAAGTAGTTTGCATATGTTGTTTAACCAAAGTCAAACATGTACTGTTAAGCTATGGGTTTGATTTTGTCTGGATATCTCAAGAAATGGATAATATAAACAACTAGCCTTTGTTTACATTTAAAACTATTGTTAAGGTGACGCAACAATATTTCAAAATTGTTGTTTGTATACTATATACAGTGTATCTTGGGCCGGAGGCCTTAAAACATAAATAAAGTTATTTGAATCTTGAAAAAATATTGGAGTAACTCAGTGACGTAGAATAAGGGTATATTTATTTCGAACGCCCGTAATATTTTTCCTGAAAAAAAATCGACAGCTTCTAAACGTTCTTGTCTGTAAAAATAAAATTTATTTGTGATAAAATATCTTAAATATTTCATTAAATTTAAACATTAAATTATTCTATAACCTAAGATAAACAAGCTTAATTGTTATAAAATGTGACCGGCACTGATTGTTTTATAACATAAATGTATTTTGATAATTCTTATCATGTTAGAGACATGTGTTTGACGAAAATGATTAAACCACAAAGTACATGCAGTAAGTTAATTTCGTATAGCTGTTCATTGTTAAACAATTTTTAAAGTAAAATGTTTGGAAAATCACTTTAGATTACGTTTGCATGTTTTTCTCAGGTATGTGAGACTCTTATGAAGTCAGCCTACCAAGATTATCTAGTATGTGTTGCTAACAAAACCCAAACCTTGTCCAATTCTGACCGGGATAATATCTGTGGTATCATTAATAAGCGCAGTGCCTTTCTCTGTACCTCTTGTTGTGGAGATAATGGTTGTAACTATGGCACATGTAAAGAACTAAGAGGTAAGAAAATAACCTCAAAAAATAATTATATTGATGAAGTTTAGTCTTTTTGCGCGATTTTACTGGTATTTTACTGGTATGTTGAATTATCAAATTTGAAAGGTATATGTCAAATTTGCAAAAGCTTTTTCAGTCCATTGTTCAAAAAAAAAGCGATCAGATCGATTTTATTGTTTTTATTTCCAATCAACTTTACAAAGTAATTCAAGAAGACAGTTAAATCCCATGAATTGTCTTTTTACTAAATATTTGGTGATACCTGGCTTAATTATTTTCTTTCTTTCAGAGAGATTGTTTAACCTCGCTTTACTCGGAAAATTTGATTTCAGTACTTTGAAAATTATTCCTTAGTTTATTTCAAGTTGCATGACAACAAATTCAAGCAGATAAAGTAATTTACATATTACTCGTTTGTTGTTGATAAATGGCCACATTGTTTATGTTTCTTATTTAGCCGTCTTTGTACCAGTCATAGTTAGTTTAGCAAGATTTAATGTTGATGATTGAAATGCTTAAATAATATGTTTGTGCGTGAAATAGTGTTGAATGTTTGCTAAGGAGTAATAGAATCTATCATTTGGTAAGATAATTGGAAAAACCAAAACAGAGGATAAACGTTTCTGTCAAGAAAGAGCCTTGTGCAAATCGGCACTCCTGATTCCAAGGTACAGGATGAGAAGTGGTTAGACACTTGGTTCAAGCAAGCAAAATGGTTTCAAACTTGACAAATAGCTACCGAGTTATTAAAATTTATAACGCCCGGACGTATTTCATCCAGGTAACTGTTTGTATATATCCTGCTATAATTGTTATCATTATCAGCTAACACACTTACTGATATAAAAATGAGTAGAACCCGGCAAGAAAATCATCTTGTCAGATCTCAAATCATCATCATGACCAGTTAATATCTTCAATAACTTCGTCAATTCAGAAGAAAAAAAGCTGAGACCTAAAACCGATTGTGTCATTAACATTGCTTTAAAAAATTGGAATGTTTAAGACTAAAGAATAATATATCAACCCGCTTACCTCGATAAAAATACGTGCTCGCTTGAACCAAGTGTGTAACTCAAATCCTATCCCTTGCTTTAAACCGATTATTCCGAAATACCAAAACTTAACGACACACAAGAGACACCTTTTTACTTTTATTATTAAAAATAAAAATCAGTCCCGCGGTTTCAATATCTGATTATATATTAAAAAGAATATGCTAGCTGAATATAATTACAACAGCAGAGTTCTACTTAAAATTTACTTTTTTCATTGAATACCACATTTGTTAACAGTGTTTAAACATCATACTATCAGTTGTTATCACATATTTAAATAATTTAATTTAAATGACTGTGTTCGAACTATGTTGAAAATAAAAACAAATTTATTCATGTATGTAAATTAGATATACAATGTAACTTTTATGCGCCGGATTAACAAATAGCGGTCATTTTAAAATCTGCCGCATAGAGGAAGCAGCGGCAGTCAGGGCGTCATTCCGACGTCAACATAATCCCATGGAATTCTGACCCGACATTTATTTCTAAACGTCGTTCGTGTAGCTTGGGCACTCTGTGTCTAGAAAACGTTGCATTCAAAGAATGTCAATATTCCCTGTGCAGAACAATTAATGATCCCTTATTTGTCTTATACGATTGTTAGGAAGCTTCCTTCCTAAATTGAAAAATTACGTTTGATTAATAAAAAGATACTGGACATATACACATGTCTAAAGCGACTAAGAAATAAAGGCACATGTATGTATAACAATCTTGGTCAGTAAAATTGAGGGTTTATTCATCATACTCATCTTCTCTTGTCTCTTTTCGGACGTTAGGAATTTGCAAACACTTTTAAATTAAATATTCTGCAATTACTGTATTCCTAGAAAAGATTTCGCGCCTTTTAAGTTAGCGGTTTTCGCGGTAGGCATGATTCCGCGAATCTGTATAGCCGCGAATATGTCACTTATAACAAATCCGCGAACATTTCTAGCTTCAGCCAAATATAACAAAAAAGTACAGAATATTTACTATAATCTACTTACACAAAAAAACAACATATAAACACAGAAGCTATAGAAATGTGTAAAGAATAATTTATGTATGTTATTGATACTAGTTTGCACGCTGAAAAACAAAATATCAATTATTAGTAATTATCATGCTTATTGACGTTATTTGCTAGTCACAGCGTTGACAAACGCATTTACAGTTTGCGAACATTGAATGACTTGGATTTTATTTGCTTAGAGTAGGTGCGATAAAGTGCTACATTGATAAACAGCTGTTATGTTGTTATAATGAAAGCGATGTACAGTCCGATAATGTGTAAAAAAAGTATCGACATTTTGAAGATAAAGTCAGTTAGGATTCAAATGAGAATAAAAGCTAACGGGTCTGACTAAATCTTACTTAATAACATAATGAAAAAAGGTAAGGAAATATGAAAGTGTTCACGGAACAACCGTCCTTGTTCAACTAGTCAATAGATGAAATGAATCGAGTAACGTTGCGCTTTAGGCGCGACTAGTCAAAAAAAATAAAATAATTAAAAGCATCCAACAGGCAAGGTCATGCATCAAAAACGTAGCCTCTAAAAGCTGTAATTTAGACCGGAGCGACTTAACATTCGCGGAATTCGCGGTTACTACAAATCCACGAAAGTTTGTCTCCGCGAAAATGCAGACGTTGTGCAAAACGCGAAATATTGTATCCGCGAACATTTCTAGGAATACAGTATTGCACATGAAAACAATTAATTCATCAGAATTAGTAAGGAAATTAATAGAAAGAAAGTATTTCGAAAAAAAAATATGGTTTTGTAAGGGATAATTTTAATACCATATGTATTCTGTGATTAAAAATAATAAATATGTAAACATATTTTGTATCTTCTCCGAATAGCATGCATGCATATATGATTGATTTATAATCTGTTCCTTTATTGTCAAAAGTGTCAAGTGAGGTTTTATCCAAAGTAGAAAGTTTAAAGTTCTGCACAATACTGATGAAAATGTGATCGTTCCCACTCCCGTAAATCAATCGTTAATTCCTAGATTTGTAGCATATTCTTGCTTATTTTTCCGACTTTACAGCCATGCTCCAAACGAGGCTGCGATTCCCGAAGTATGAGTAATTCGATATTTACCCAGTACAACTTCGACATATACAACTATGAACGAGCCGTGTTGGGGAATTGTTGTAGCTATAGCATCTGATGGTGATAGTTGTACGCTATTTAACAGCAAACCTGACACAGGATATAAGTCAGATATAGTAATTTAGAACTTGGCTCATTAAAACCTGTAGGCACAAAAAAATAATACAAGTGACCGGAGAAAGTGATGTCGGGAACAATCATCATCGAAGGATCCCCAAGCGCAAGTGCGGAACTATGACCATAAAATGTCACAAGAACCGGCAAATATGTAATGATAGAAATAATTGCAGAGTCTGTATAAGGTCTGAACGCGGAGTTTCTTTCATTTAAAGAAAAAAGGTCGATTTGGTTTACGACTTTATCTGCTATCGTTACTGACGTTTGATAAAAGGGTGCAACAATGATGACTGTAAAATCTGAACGAAGCTTCATAAAGCACATAATATGGACATTACCTAGTGCATTTATTGCTGGCATAGCGGCTTTAATGTAGTAACAGCAATTTATAGCATTGTCGGGAATGTTTGCACATACATCTTTGTACCTGTCATATCAGAAGCATTTTTATAATACGTCTGCATTTGGCGCATTATTCTATTTCTCAATGTTGTGCTAGCGAAATGCGAAAATCTCTCGCACATCATTCAGAGCTACATTTGAACTATTATGAAATATGATCTGAGACGTGAATCTGGCGAGAAATGCAGAACAAAATTCAGCTCAACATTGGAATTTAACAAAATTAAGACCTGCCAATGTTCGATCACAACTTTCAGAAAAACAATCAAACTTTATAAATGCAGACCTACTAAAGATAACGATGTGAAGGTGGCACAAAATTCAGCGCATACTTCAGCACAATATTCGGAAAAATAAACATGGCGAACTGAGAAGTGACGTTTACACGATATTCAGCAAAAAATTTAGCCCATTCGCAATTAGTCGAGGACAAGATTGAGTGCCCATCATTACCTTTAAATTAAAGTTTATCGGAACTGATTCATTTCATGTCTGACAATGTTTAGTGTTTGCACCGTTCATGGTAAATGTCATCTTATACCAGTGTGTAAACTGAGAATCATGCATATTATGGCACGCTACTTTGAATACTGATGCTCCACAGTTTGCATGGTAGATTGTGGCAATGATACATTGTTGAGTATAATACTGAATAATATTGGACAACTGTTAAACCTTTCTTAAACCTAGCTGTGTCTTAAATGTGTAAGAGTCCATGAGATTCAGTATTGCTACAAACAACGTTCATCTATTTCGTACTTAGTCTACTAAATATTTGACATTTTGACATTTTCGAGAACATAAGGGATTGTATATAAATTATTTGCAAAATCGAAAAAAGAAATTGGCTTATCTATTTGATATTGAATTGTCCAACTGTCAAAGCAAACAAAAACCAGGCTTAAGGTAGAACGCGACACTTTGCGAGTCAAAGTTGACCATCAAAGCCCATTTTTGAACATGACGTCGTTGCGTATCCTTAGCAAATGTTACGGATATTTCAACGTCATTGGCGGATAAAGTATCTTAAATCCTACAGCATTCGGCGGAAATTATATTTTTCTTGAAGCAGATATAAAATTTATTGTTTTACGCCGAAAATTGTTTGAGTAATGGAAAGAAAATTGTCAATTTTGTGAAAAATTTGACGTTCAGTTAAGCCGCTTTTTTAGGCTTAAAATCGGCTTATTAAAAAATTCCTGAAATAAATGTTTGATTTTTTTCTTTAAACGTCCTTTAAAATGTAAACTTAGTAAAAAAAAACAAAAAAAATATGGGGTCACCGACTCAAATTTTTCGGTACACGTGATTTTATTTCCCCCACCCCGTGAGTAATTTTGTAACGAAATTCGACGGATGCAGATACTTTTGAGACTTCAAAGTGCGGCAATAATGTTCAGCTTATCAGGAGAATTGTTCAAGAGTTTTACTAATACATATAAAACAACAACAGCAATGTTCCATTGCAAATTCTTAAAATTGTACGAAAAACAAACTATTTTTTCTTGTTTTTAAGCATGATTAATAACTTCATAAGGATTTGTAAACAGACGCATGTAAAGAAAATGACGTTAGGCGTTCAACGGCAACGCTTACGCTGCGCAAACAAAAATAAATACAGCTGAGAGTAATCATTTGCGTAGTTCCTTTTTGATATTGTAATACAATAAGATTAATAAACTTGAATCGAGAAATTTGCCATTTATGGAAATTCAATCATAAAAT